AAAGTGTACAAAGAAAAAGATAAGGTCGCCTCTTTGGGGAATAGGAATAGAGGTATAAAGTAGAGAAAGTGTGAAAAAGCAATTATGGAGAATGGGCATCAAGTTCCCCAGGACAGGGTAGTAGAATTGCCAAATGGTGCTGGGAAAATCATGAATTCATCCAACTCATCCAATTTATCTTACTATATGTTCTGTTCTCTAACAGCATTTGGCTGCTGAGGCACAAATATGGAAAAACTAGATTGTTACATTTGTTTTAGGGTTGGGGATTTTCCTCGATTTTTCTATATATGGTAGAATGCAGATGAAGAACAGAGTTGATACTTGTATGAGTGCTACTACCAGTAACTATGCAATCTCAGCTGGACATAGAGACATGGAGAGGCTCATAAATTGGGAGAAGGTAGACAAGTGAGATGACTTGTGGGGAGGGTTTCTAATCAGGTCTAAGAACTGTGGTGGGGGAAACAGTTGAACAAAGCAATACAAATATGTGTTTATCTGCATACACAAATAGCAAACATATACATTCCTTGAGGGCAGCCCTTGCACTTATGAAGAAACTTTCTTATTCAAAAAGGATATACACAAAATGATGTAGCCAAGACACAGTTTATTTCAACATAGTAAACCAAAAAATAACAACTCCTTTCTTTGGAAAAAAAAAATTCTGTACATTTAGGGTGGATATAATTGACCATAACGTATTTCAGGAAAAAAAAATTAGGCATACCATACCTAATAAAGCTTTCAATGTCGACAGTTGATAAAGAACTTTGCCAGATGAGCAGACATTTGGAAAAATCAAAACATAGTTTTAAAACAGAGTTAAGAATATTATGGCCTTATTTATCTTGCTGGGGTCATGCCCCAGGGGCAGGATCCGTTAAGACCTGAAGATCTGGCTGTGACAGACTAAAGAAAAATAAAGTTAGAAATGACAAGAAAGAAAGAGACAAGACACACAGAATAGAATTTTCAAAGGTGGGAACTCAGGGGTCACCACCCATTTGTGGTGTTCTAGCGGTGGCCCCCGAGTGTCAGTTCTACTCAGCTTTTATTGAAGGCTATTTGCTCATTAGCCCAAAGGGTAAGCTGAGAAAGGGAACAAAGATGCCAGCAGTTTCTCTGAGTGAGCATATGGTCTCCTATGGTTTCTATAATCATTGCCTTTAAGGGTCTGAGTAGTCTTGAGAAATCTGGAACCTGAGACTTGTGTGTGGGCAGCCTCCTGTCTGAGGTCACACACACAGATTCCTAGGGAGGTGTTAAACTCCACTGGTTGTCTGTGGAGTAAAACGCCACTGGCGTCAATCTCCTCTGAAGAATCGGTGGGAGAGAGGAATTTTCCTCTCATCATCACCACAGAGGGGCTTCCTCTGCAATAAGAGATATAAGCCCTCCTGCCTGTATTTCAGGGTTCAAGCTGTTCCCTTGATCTCTGCCCCAGCCAAATACAATCTCCACAATGGGTTTTTGCTTTGACTGTTTACTGGGCAGGAAACAGCCTAGTTAATGTATCTTTCAAGCCTTGCCACAGCATCTTCTGTGGCCATTGTTCCTCATAGTGTTTACAGATCCAACAGGAGTGTTAGTAAGCTGTATCCCCAGTAGGCCAGAGCTCTAGAAAAAGCATTTCTTTTCTCAGACAAGAAATTTAGCAGCAGCTGGTTTAAAGTTAAACTAGCTGACCTTTCTTTGTTCTGCCTCACTCAGCTTCCTTTTTAATTTTTCCCTTTTTCTGGGGGCATTTTCCCTTGCGAAGAATGGGGTCTTTGGTCCCCATTCTGCCTACATATCTGAACCAAAAACAATCATTATCCAGCCTTCCATTTTCACATATATTTTCTTTAGCAGAATTAAGCTCCAAATTTAAAGGATTAAATTCTTTCTTCCTAAACCCTTGAGATTATCAAATTCTCCTTCAAACCTATATCTGTTTACAAAAGCACAGACCATTTAAAGGGAAACAGTGGTAAACACAGACAGAGATTTCACTTCTACACCATTGGTCCAGATTTTGTTACAGAAGATTTTCTGAGTTGGCTACCAATTTACTCAACTCAGTTCAAAAACATAATGCCTGATTATGGGACCAGCGTGGCTTTCATGCAGCCCATCAGCAGATTTCTCTATCATTGAAAATGAGTTCATGATGTTAGCCCTTAGCTTAACGTGTACAAACGAGATTTGTGAATTCTATGACAGTGATGTTAGCAGTTTTAAATGTAAAATGCAAATTACTACATTTATTTTTTAAATACTCAAGCTGCTATGTTTTTTCAATAATCACCTTTTCCATATACAAATGAAAAATAAAATGGAGAAAGAAGCAGAAAAATTTGAATGTTCAAAAATAAGACAACTAGAAAAATCTCATATGTCAAAACATGGCTGGAGTCAGTTTAGATCCTAAGAACAAGTGTATACTATTGCATATAACTATATAGTAAAACCCAGCTCTCTCTGAAAGCCCTGAATTAAACTGTTTTCCCAACTCCTTTTAGGCCATGATTCTACCTGCTAAAAACATTTTTAATAAATACTATCATAGCCCTACAAATTTTTTATATTCCCAAATAATGAACTTAACTATAATAAAACAATTTAAATAGCTATGCTATAAAATAAAACAGCTGTAAATATACACTCTACAATGGAGAGTATATTTCTTATCTATCTTTCTTTACCTGAAAGATAATATTAAAAAGAGATTCCACAGCTTACTGATTCTTTAAAAACTAAGAATCAAAGTACTGAACAAAATAAATAAATATGCAAATTGGAGGTCTAGGAAAGAGAATACTTAATAAGCCAGTGTATTAAAAATCCACTATTTCAGTATTAAGTCTTATTCATTCAAATACAGTTAAATTTATTGCCATGATAAATAAGCTTCACATTAAGGCACCTGTTATTACCTTCAAAAAAGTTTTGGATTCAAAACAAAGAGAACATGCACAATAAAACTTTGTTTCGTTCATTCTGATGTCATTACAGATATTTCAGTATGAAGTGTTACATTTTTGTATGACAGTAGATAAGTATCTTTGAACATATTACCTGAATATAGCTCAAATGTTTCTCTATGATATTTTGATATATTAATTAATGGTATTTTATTTTAATTAAAGTATATGATACTTCAATCAATGAAGAAAGAAGCAAAAGCAAATCAAGGTAGATGGCAAAGGACTAAATATGAGACACATGACAACCTCATAAAAAAATGACACTGTACAGACTGTGTCTATGAGCAGATCTTGAGCAAGTCTTTAACTTCCCTGGGCCTCACTCTTTCCATCTGTACTATTTCAATAATAATATGGACTCTGTCAAGCTCATAAGGCTATTGTGAGGTCAAGTGAGATGATGCTAAAACTCTTAGCAAACTGAGAAGCACTGACGAAATAAATGGTATTATTATAGGCCAAAATAACTGAAGTTTCTGATAGTCTCTCTAATAAAAAAGTTATGGCCTATTCTTTTTGCATTCACTTGAAGACTCTCAGTTTTGATCCATTAGAAAGTGACAGAATAAATGGAGTAAAAACTTATGCAAATAAAAATTCTCTAAGTGCTATCGTCAAGAATTTTATAAAGCAGCTTGTTATATGTATGGAACCATTGCATGATAGGACTCAAGATCCTCTTAACACTTTCAAAAATAAAGAAGGGGCTGACTTTCAGAAACCTTGGCTCCTGGCCATTCCTCAGTCTCCCCTAGAAAGACCATCATCACTCTCACCATCTTCTATTGTGCAGTATACTAGTACTATTAAAAGATCTCTTATAACAGCTTAAGAGTTTTAAGAATATAAAGGAACTGAGTTAAATGTTGGTACATTACTCAGGTTGGCACAAATTTGAAATGGTTCAATAATCTCTACCATGTTCTCCTCTTTTTTTCTAGTCCACAATCTCTTCCTCTATGTATAAAGTGTTCTCAGTCAGCTTTTTCCAGCCTATGTTCTGAGGAACACTAGCTGGCTGAGATATTAACAGGTGAAAATAGATCTATGTGAAGTAAGCTGAAAATATGCAGGGTACGGTAAGTTTTTATACTGTAGAATCTCTCAGTCTTTGATGTACTGATTGTACTTTTCTACAGAGAAATTGAGTGTACAGCATTTCCTAAACTCATCCAACCATAGAATTCCTTTTTCCCTGCAAACTATGTAGAGGGGCTAATAGTTCTTAGAATATTCTTTGGGAAATGCTATTCTAGCCAATTCATCCTGGTTTTAAACATTTCGGGGCTAAGTCCAATAATGGTTACCTTTTTAATTTCTGAAGGAGAAGAATCAGTTTACTTATATTGTCAACTACCATAATAACCTCCCAGATTCCACTCCATAAGTATCCTTCCTAAAGCAACTAAGAACTAAATTTTCTTTACTACATATTGAGAAGTTATTCTTGTGTTAATAAGAAGTATGATCTTTTAAAGAAAATCCTTATATTCCTCCCCTAAACATTAAAAATGCAAAGATCTAATTCTAGATCCTAGGACCTAGAATGACAATTACTTTGAGGAAACGAGAGTATTTTATTGTAACATCACTACAATTAACACTAGCAATAATAATTATTATTATAATTACTAGTGGTGGTAATAGTAGCAGTATTGGCTAAGCACTTATTTTTTCATTTTAATCCTGATATCCCCTCTTATGAATTTAGGACCTAGTATTACTTCCAAGTTAAAGATAAGTGCACTGAGGTATACAGAGATTAACTGCCTTGCCAATGGTCACACAAAGGAGTAAGGGCAGAACCTCAAATTCATATCTGACCCTTCACTCTATGTTCTTAACCACTACATAATTCCATTTTACGTTCCAGTGATGAAACAAAAGCATTTTGGTTACATTCTTGTTGTTATACAGGAAAATTATATAAATCCACACTGATTGGAATTTGGCTTTGGACTTCCTTTTGATCAAATTATCATTCCCAAAGAATATACTTTTAAGTTTTTTAAAAAGAAAAATAGAGTGCTATCTACCAATAGTAGGTTGCTAGGGTTTTAAAACAGGGGAGATTTTTAAAAATCTGCATCCAAAGTGAAGACATTATCTGTGGTTTCCGTCATAACAGCAAAACGTTGGTACTCTGAAACTCGTTTCTCAAAGAAATTCGTTTTTCCTTGTAAAGAAATGTTTTCCATAAAATCAAAAGGATTTTCTGCCTGGAAAATCTGAAAAGAAATATTATTAGACATTCTAAAGAATCCAAATTATATCCCACAAGAAGAGCAAAAATGACAAAAACAGAGCTCAGGTTTCCCAACATCTATCTAGTCACCTATCAGATCACATTATTCCCCTAAGATCCTGGAGGCACTCAAGACTGAATCAGCACTCAAACCTGACAAATTTTAAGATAACCTAGATCAACTACTAACCTTCTCAAGAAACTATACTAACATCTTTGGCATTCTAAGAAATAGAAAGAAAAGAGTGTTTCACAAAATCAATATTTAATACATAGTAATACTGACCAAATGAAAATGTTTCCACAACTTGAGATCAGATACACCATAAAAACTATAGGCATTTGTTATAGGTATAATTATTAAATAGTCACATGTACATAGCACTACATGTTAAATTAAACATTAAAATGTTAAATTACCAACACTCTACTGTGGTCCTAAGTGTATTTCTTAGTTCATAGTAGAATAACCAACAAATTGACATTATGGACCATGATGAGGGAAGACAGAATAAACATCCATAGTGATTAGATGTCACCAAACAAAAAGTAGGACATAAACTGACAAGAAGCTTTTTCACTGCTTCAGAATTCAAGAAGCAGACTTGGAAATACAGCTTAATGAAAACTCTTAAGATATTTCACTGATTCACAAGGGTATTTCACAAGAGCATTTTTGAATTTAGGAGCATCTCAGCAGGAAATATGAACGGCACATATAAGAATGTATTTAAGTAATCCGATTTTTTAAATAGGCTAAGTATCTAAACAGACAAAAAAAGAAATTTCTTCTATGAAGTTATATGAAAAGGCCAAGAAGCACATAAAAAGATGCTTATCATTATCCATTATGGATATGCAAATCAAGACACAATGAGGTATCATTTCACACCCACTATGACGGCAATAATTTTAAAAAAAAAACAAATACTTTTTGGTGAGGATATGAAGAAATAAGAAGCTTCATACACTGACAGGACTATAAAACTATACAACGACTTTGGAAAACAGTCTGGCAGTTCTTCTAATGATTAAATATGACTCAACAGTTTCACTCCTAGGCAGATATACACTCAAAAGAAATTAAAACATGCCCACAACAAGCTTGTACATGAATGGTAGTAGCAGCATTATTCACTATAACTAAAAAGTGAAAATAATCCAAATATCCATCAACTGATGAATGGATAAATAAAATTTGGTATATCTATACAATGGAATATTATTTGGTCATTAAAAAAAATGAAGTACTGATACATGTTATGACATGAATGAACCTTAAAAACATCATGCTATGTGAAAGATGGTTTCAGTAAAAATATATTTTAGGGGCCTTAATTTTTTTTCTTTTTTCTGAGACAGAGTCTCTCTGTTACCCTCTGTAGAGTACTGTAGCATTGTAGCTCACAGCAACCTCAAACTCCTGAGCTCAAGTGATTCTCTTGCCTCAGCCTCCCAATTAGCTGGGACTACAGACGCCCACCACAACACCCCTTATTTTTAGAGACAGGGTCTTGCTCTTACTCAGGCTGGTCTAGAACACCTGGGCTCAGGCAATCCACTTGCCTTGGCCTCCCAGAGTGCTAGGATTATAAATGTAAGCCACTAAGCTCAGCCTAGGGCCTGGATTTACTATTTTAACTAGTAATAATACCTTTTTTTTTTTTTAACATTTTACCTTTGAGAATCCAAGTTCTACAAGTAATCTGTCAGCCACAAACTCAATGTACTGTTTCATCAAAATACAGTTCATTCCAATGAGGCCAACTGGTAAAGCTTCTGTTAAAAACTCCTGGGATATAAACAAACAGAAGAGTAAATAAATACATATTTTCCAAATAGAAAGAAGGTTTTATTTTTATTAATTTTCTAAGATACTGATTTTGTTCAAGGAAAGTAAAGTAGGATAAATAAATTCTTTCAAAATTGGAAGTGATGTCCATGCGATTAAAATGTTTGGGGTATTACTATTCACATTATTTCACATTTTTGAAGAACCAAAACTAAATGGAAACTAAAACCAAATTACTGGATTTTTTAAAGTAGCATATATATAGAATCTGGATATATATGCTTTCTCAATAGAAAAAAGGTGATGGTTTGTTCTGAAATATCTAATAAAAGACTCAAAGATGATTTTCGTGAGAAGTATGACTATTTCAGAGTTAGGAAAGAGGGAAAATTGAAATAACAAAGAATGTGAGAAATAAACAGAAACAGATCTGGGGGTTGGGAGATAAACTGAATGCCAATCCTACTGAAAGATAGTTGTAGATTGTTAACAGAGGAAAAATTAAAAACATTATTAATTACTTGGATTTAGTTCTCAAAATGATTAAAGATACCAAAATGCATTTTATGACTTTTTCCCTCAATATGAAAACTATGCCTATTAAACTACGCAGTGTGGGGAGGAAAGAGGGGGGAAGGAGGCGGGAATGGGTGAAGGGAGGTTGATTAGAGGGATCACTTCTATGGTTTATCTTACAAGGGTACAAGCGAATCTTTCTAAGAGTAGAATATAAACGTCTTAACACAATAATTAAGAAAATGACATAAAGGCTATGTAAACCAGTTTGATGAAAATATTTCAAATTGTATATGAAAACACCACACTGTACCCCATGATTGCATTAATGTACACAGCTATCATTTAATAAAAATAAAATAAAATAAAATAATTAACTGTTAGAATGATCAAAACACATCCTAAGTGAAGCATCTAGCTCTTTCTAGTAAGAAATCTTTACATATTATATGTTAAATTTCATTATTTAGTAATTCATTACTCATTCAATTTCTAAACATTTGGTATATACTTCAATCTAGGTATCTTGCTAGGTTATTGAAAATACAAAGCAAATGAGAAACTATCACTGCCCTCTAGTCACATAATAAAAATATAAAGTTCCAATAAATAAATATTTTGTTACTGCATGAAATTTAACAGATAGATCAGTGAGACAGAAAAATAACCCTAAAACAGATTTTAGCACGCATAAAACCTATAATAAAGACTAATTTATAAACTTTATTATAAACTCACATAATAATTCCAATATATCATGTACTGGTACTGTCAGATTGGCTGATATTTGTATTAACCTACAAAATTACAATTTTATCTGAGTCAACCTAACAGTCGTACAAATAGTAGAGAAAGAGAGATGAGCTAAATACGTAAACTTCCCTGCTTACCTGCTCAATTTTGACAGCCTCAATAATGATCTCCCTGACTCTTTCTTCTGAAGGCTTATTTACTAAGTACCGAAACATCAGGCAAGCAAAGTCACAGTGAAGACCCTAAAATAGAAGAAAAAAAGCATTGTCAAAGAACATTTAATCAGGTATTTGCACAGAGTAATGTGTCAAGCATCATAAGTAGGTTCTAGGAATACAACACGAAACTTCTGAAAAATGGGCTCAGCACCCAGAGCTCAGTGAGTAGGGCACCAGCCACATACACAGCCCGAGTCTGAGGCTGCAGTGAGCTATGATGCCATTGCACTGTGCTCAGGGCACAGGGTGGGACTCTGTCTCAACAACTACAACAACAACAAAAAAAGCAAGGAAATAAAAAGAAAAAAATAAGCAAGGAAATAAAATTTAAAAATTTTAAAAATTAAAAAGTACAAAAATTAATCTTGAAGAATAAATGGGAAGAACTTTATAAGGACATTTTAAAAAGGAACATTTTGAGGCCTGACACCTGTAGCTCAGTGGCTAGGGCCACCAGCCACATACACTGGAGTTGGTGGGTTTGAATCCAGCCCATGCCTGCCAAACAACAATGACAACTACAACCAAAAAATAGCTGGGCGTTGTGGCGGGTGCATGTAGTCCCAGCTACTTGGGAGGCTGAGGCAAGAGAACTGCTTAAGCCCAAGAGTTGGAGGTTGCTGTGAGCTATGACGCGCTGGTACTCTACGCAGGGTGATAGCTTGAGATTCTGTCTCAAAAAAAAAAAAAAAGGAAAATTTTGAGATTTATCCTACCAGTTATTAAAACATAAAACTATAATAACTAAAATAGTCTGTTATAGCACAAAATATGATAAGTCAATGAGGTAGAAAAAATAGCCATGAAACAGATTTTGCTATAATAAAACCTTAATATATAGTAAAGAAGACAGCCCAAGTCAATGGAGAAAGGATGGATTAATTAACAAAGATAACTGGAAAAACTTTCTAAGAGTGTTTGAAATAAAATTAAGCTAAACTATTATACTATACTATCCTATACTGTAGTTATACTGAATTCTATACTTACACTAAACAAATTTCAATTGCACTAGAAAGTTAAATGTTAAAAAGCCAAAAAGGAAATATATGTGATTATTTAACTTATATCTCAAAGTGAATCATGCCAAACTAGGTTTGGAATGTTTAAAGAATAAATAAAATTAAAAAGCAAAGGACAAACTGGAAAAATATTTGAAATAAATATAACAAAATCCATAGTTTATGTTATATTCATACAATAAATATGACAAAGTCAATAAACAAATTCTTATTGAAAAAGCCCAGTCACTATCCATTGGGAATACACATGGGGCAAGCATGACTTCTTCCTTTTAAGGATTATACACTACTACATAAATAAATTTAAAATATTATGAGCACTTTTAGTTAAATAAGGTAAATATTAATATTGCAACAAAAATAAAGGCAAAAGTTAAAACCAGGTAACTAAGAATACAAATGACTAATATCATTAAGAAAAATATTCAATTTAAGTAGTAATTAAATACAAATGACATCAATAATGAGATATCAATTATCCCTACCAAATTTATCAAATATTTAGCAAATTAACCTAAACTCTGGTAAGGGTACAGTAGAAAATATTCATATACTGCTAGGTGGAGTTGAAAATTTCTATAAATTTTCTGGAAAGAAATCTACAAATAAGTATGAAATATCTTACAATCTAATAATAATTCATACTTTTTACAATCAAGTTTAAGAAAATCTTACATACAAAGGAAACAATCAAAAGTTCTAATTATGGAAGAGTCAATTAAATGATACATTCATTCATTATTATATAGATTATATAATTAGATAACAAAACTACTGTTTTCCAAAAATGCTTGATACCACATAAAAACAATCAGAATATTTTACCAAGTGGAAAAGAACACCTCAACTCATAAAAATATGAATTGTAAAAATATGATGTTTATATCTCTAAATAGATTTAAATGTAGAAAAAAGTCTAAAAAGAAATGCAATAAAAAATGTGATCATCTCTGTGTTGAGATTAAGTAATTTTTTTATTCTCTCAATTCTCTATTATAATCACATGATGATACTAATAAAAGTTATTAGCAATTTAAGGGCATGAAACAGCAAAAAATAATTATATAAAGCATTTCATGACACTTAAAATGTATTTTCACATGTATCCTATTTCACCTCATTCTAACAAAACTCTTGTTAGGTTTTTTAGTTGAAGAAACCAAGGTTCAAAGAAATTAAGTATTAGTGTAGGCAATAAATCTGAACTGAACAGCTGTAACAGGCCAAACATTGAGAACACAAGGATAAATAAGGAGAGGTCTCTGCACTAAGATGCTTAAGGTCTAGCAGAGGAGAAAGAAAAGTGCAATACATGTTATGAACTCTAAGACAAGGACAGTTTTAAGTTTCAAGGGGATACATAAAAGAAAGAGTAGACAATTTTACCTAATGGGGTCAGATAAGTTTTGAGTTGCCTCTTGTGAGAAAGTGCTCAAAAAAAAAAAAAAAGAAAAAAGAAAAAACGGTAGTAGGAAAGATGAAAAGGCTAAGGGAGACAAGATTTATTGATTAGATGTGGCTGAAAAAGCAGAGAAGTAATCTAAAATGACTCCTAGATGTTATTGAACAACTGGATAGAAGTAGCTACACTCAATGAAATAAGAAACAAAAGAAAGAATACCTTTTGGCAAAAAAGGTGATGAATTTAATTTTTGAAATAATTGGTTTGAGATTCCTGGGGAATCTTCTAGGAGAAAATATCTTAACATGCTCAAGAACATATGAGTTTGGGGTTCAAGAAAGAATATCTGAGACAAAGGTAAAGTATTGGGAGTTATGAGCATTTAGATGGTAGCTGATTCCATGGGAATAAATGAAATGAGCCAAGAGGTAATATAAGAAAGAGTGAGGCCAAGGCAGGCATCTAGGAATACACTAATATTTAAGGGTGGGCAGAGGAAATTAAGGAGGAATGGTAAGAGATGGAGGAGGAAAATGCCATGTCTTAAAAATTAAGGAAGAAGTGACTTCCTATTTTCTTTTAACTACCAAGATACTTGTGTCACTATAGTATTTTCCGGGAGAAAGAAAAAAAAATGAACATCAAAAAAGAATACAAATATGAATAGAAAAACGTCTCATTCCTTACTTCATCTCTGCTGATAAGTTCATTGGAAAAAGTGAGCCCAGGCATAAGACCTCTCTTCTTTAGCCAGAATATAGCAGCAAAAGATCCTGAGAAGAAAATTCCTTCTACAGCAGCAAAGGCCACCACTCTTTCCCCTGGAAGACATAAAATATTTTAATTTTATGAAATATCATATACTGCAGACATTTGGAAGTTCATTTAGATTTTATTTTACAATAAATGCCACAACTATTTTGCAAAGAAACAAAATATACAAGTTCATGTCATAGCCAAGGGACTTCAGAGGAGAAAATTTGCCACCTCTACCTACTAGAGCAGAAAGATGTCTATTTCAAATCCTATATCCAACAATGGACCCCTGTAGGTCTTGGTGTCTGGACAAAGGATGACACTTTATATTTTAAAAAAAAAAAAAAAGCAGCAAAAAGGAGATTTACCTGTCCACTGTTATGTGCCTGTGAGTACCAATATGTGTGGATGTGTACATATGTGTGTGCGTATGTGTTGGAGTGGAGAGTAGAAGTTAGACATTTTAACAAATGTCTTCCTCTGGGAGGCAGGGAAGTTGCTAAGTTTTATATTTTTAAAAACCTATAGTATCTATCTTACAGATCAGCTGAAGACATTTCAGAAAACACTGCCACGTTGAAGATAATAAATATGTCTGCTAGATAAAATGTCCTATCATATAAGCAAAAATACTGTCTTCTGCTAAACATCTAATGGCCAGTTACAAAGGTGACTCCCTGTTAGGCAAGGACTTTGCAGAAGCCCATCTCCTTAAATGTCTACAGTAGCATCAGATCTGTAACACTATCCCAGGGGGTGATTATAGGTCTAACCCAAAAGGTCATTCAGAAGTCCCCTATGTCACTACACTGCATATGCTTAAGAGAAGTATTTACATATGTCTGTCTAGGACAGTGGTTCTCAACCTTCCTAATGCCGCGGCCCTTTAATATAGTTCCTGTGGGTTGCGATCCACAGGTTGGGAACCACTGGTCTAGGGAGAAGGGTTTGGTCTATAGGACCGTGAGGTAAAGGTAGCTGAGTGCTTGAGTGAACTATAGACCTTTTCTCATAGATGACATCATAGTTTATATCTCAGTATTTGCCACAAGACCAAACATACAGAAGTCACTCAAAACATGTAAATGTGCCCTGAACTACATTAATGGAAACTACGTAAGTACTAGATGATAAAAATATTAAAATCCATTTTAAGGAAATGGCGAAACTGCAGAACCTGACTATCTATAATTTCCTGAACAAATATAATTATAATACTTAAAATTTCAAAAAGAAAGATGACTACGTTTAAATATTTCTAGCTGTCTCTAAATAACAGTCTTGTTTGTTCTTGTCCTTTTCCCTGATTATATTAAGCAAACCAAATCAGAAAGCTCAATTATATCAAATATGTGGTAATCTAAATTGTCTATTTATGGCCTAAAACATGAGAAAAACTTATTTTGATGACACAATTTAAAAAATCATTTCAGGAAAAAAAAAACTCAGAAGAAATATAAATTAAATAAGTACTTACTGAGTACCTATTGTGTAAAAAGAATTATGGAAGAGAAGAATCTTTAGCATGGTACGTGCTAAATATTGAAATATAATAACAATCACTATGCTTGAGATAGAGATTTGTCATTAGTTTAACATATAGCTTGCTATATTTTTATTTTACTGTAATAAAAGACAGTTACAATTGGTACCTTTTAAATTGACATTAAGGTAATATCATAAGGACAATTATCTGTAAGGGAAGTAGACTATAATTAAATACAAACACAGTGAGTAAGAAGAAAATTGTTATTTTAACTATTCATTCATATGAATACTAAAGAATGAAAATCATAACTAACAGTTATAGAAGACTATTCCTTTTTGGAGAAGATTAAAAATAAGGAGTGGCCAGGCATGGTGGCTCAAACCTGCAATCCTAGGAAGCTGAGATAGGAATATTACTCAAGCTGAGGAGTTTAAGGCCAGGCCTGAGCAAAAGTAAGACCTCCACCTCTACTAAAAAAACAGAAAAAAATTAGCCAGGTATGGCAGCACATGCCTATAGTCCCAACTAAGGTGGCAAGATCGCTTGAACCCAGGAGTTTGAGATTTTGAGGTTGCTGTGAGCAAGAATAACACCATGCCACTTTAACCTAGGCAACAGATTGAGACTCTGCTTCAAAAAAAAAAAAAAAAAATTATAAGGAGTAAATTTTACAAAGGTTTGCAAGTATATGCGAAATAAAAAGAGACTTCCAGAACATTTCTTCTAAAACCCATAACATTCACAATGAATTTGTTTTTTAGAGAGGAGTAAGAAGGATATATTTCTAAGATACAGCCGACCCCTATGCTGCAACATACTAAGACTATTTAATCAGTAGTTTTTCTGAGGTTGGAAGTATAATTTTATTACTTATATTAAGTTTTAATCTATCTGTTTTTAAAAGTTTTTAAAATGTTTTAAAAACTTCAAGTATAGCTCAGTTTTTAAAAAACTACTACACAGATATGTAATTAGGAATCGTTAGCTCAACAAAAATTGAATCTTCTTATACCACGTAAACTTTAAAATGGATTACAAAATAAGCTTATAAAAACTGGTGAAAAAGCAAAAAAAAGGAACACAGATTTATATTGTTAACTTGGTAATTTTTTTGTCTATTTTCTGGTCTTCCTTTTTTAAAAGTTTTTCTTTAATGTGCTTATTATTTTCATAGCTTAAAATTTAAAAATAAACTCAAGAGGGAAAAACAAAAAATTTTTAAACTAAAAATTTTTTAAGGAATACCATTAGGTTCCCTTCAGCTAAAAATAAAGGATTATAGGAGTCTGGATGTAAGGAAAAAATAGTTACTATATTGGGTCTCACCCAGTGCAAGAGTCACCAAGAAGGTCACCAAAAATGTTAGGCAAAGCCACAAGCCAAATGAAAGAGCTGCTTTTGCCAATCTAAAGCTACTAATGGTGCAGGTGATACAACTCCGTTCCCCAAACAGCACTTCCTCAGCTGGTTAAAGCTGGTTCGTGGCAAAGCAAGACAATATTTCCATGTTGTCTTTTAGCTCCACTCCAAAAAAGGAGACCTACCAATGTGCCCCACCCCTTCTACTCCTTCTACATCATTTTATTTTATTTTATTTTATTTTATTTTATTTTTGAGACGAAGCCTCAAGCTATCCCCCTGGGTTGAGTGCTATGGCATCACGCTCACAGCAACCTCCAACTCCTGGGCTCAAGCGAGTCTCCTGCCTCAGCCTCCCAAGTAGCTGGGACCACAGGCGCCCGCCACAATGCCCGGCCATTTACATCATTTTAAACATGTTCTTTCCTTTGAGACCCTAGATTAGAACCCTAAAATGGAGCCTGCCCTGAAATTAAGCAATGTGGAGAATCTAACTAGAGCCCCTGATTTGGTCATGTGGTGAGAGTCATCCTTCTCTGCCTTTTCTGTTTCTAGGTTACCTTTGTTGGGTAGTTCATGAAATATATGCTTTCTGTGAGCCTGTTCGTCTTTTTTCATCAGTACCTATTCACACTAATATTTTTAATGCATATTAAAGACCTTGATGCTTCCCTTCTTCTTTTTTTTTTTTTTTGGCCGGGGCTGGGTTTGAACCCACCACCTCCGGCATATGGGGCTAGCACCCTACTCCTTTGAGCCACAGGTGCTGCCCCATGTTTCCCTTCTTTTCTAAAGCCAATGTTTTAAACCTCTGTGAAGGAATTAGCTGGGTATTAAACACAGATTCCTCAGTCCCACCTAGGTGAGAAAACCAGGATTTTGCAGGGTTTTTCTATACATTCTCCAGATGACTTTTATGCACATTGAGAACCACTGCTTTTCTTATTCTTGAAATGAATCAAAGGCAAAGCAAAAATACCTGTTTCTTTCCTGATATACCACATGCTTATGTATATATGCACTACATTACTGTTTTTCAAGTGTGGTCCAGGAGTCCCTGGGAGTTACACACACACAGATCTGTGAGGTCAAAACTGTGGATTGCTATAATACTTATTATATTTTTATGTGGCTCTTATTTACCTCTCATCATGCACTGACATCTTAACTTTCCAACTTTCTAGTTATTAAATAGAATAGATAACAACTTCTTTTAAACTACCAGCTTCTAATTATAAGAATGATTTCGGTAAAGGTACATGCTGTACTGTTCATTAGTACTAGATAGTCACACTGTAAAATAGTGTCATCTCACTGAAGGGAAATTTGATTACATAAGAATTAGAGCCACAGGCTTCGCACCTATAGCTCAATGGCTAGCTTGTGGGTTTGAACCCAGCCTGGGCCTGCCAAACAACGATGACAACTACAAAAAAAAAAAAATAGCCGGGCATTGTGGCAGGCACCTATAGTCCCAGCTTCTGGGAGGCTGAGGCAAGAGAATTGCTTAGGCTCAAGAGTTTGAGGTTGCTGTGAGCTGTGATGCAACAGCACTCTATAGAGGATGAATTAGTGAGACTGTCTTAAAAAAAAAAAAAAATTAGAGCTACATACCAAAAGTAGATTTTCTATCTGCTATCCATCGCAAGGCCCAATCTGCTTTTTTCTTAACACATGGCATTGTTTCAATTGCATTAAATAAAAATTCCCTGTAAAAACAAAAAAAATAATAGCAAAGTTATTCACCTAATCTTTCTTAATATTTATTCAGCAATAATAATTATAATTCTGATATGTTACCAGAGCTATAGATTTTCTACATTTTGCATGTCTGTGAAATATAGAAATAAAAGTAAAACTCAAATTAATGACTGGGATCTAGTCTGATAGAAAGTCAACTAAATTTGAATATTCAATTTCTAAATAGAATATGCTAATAGACAGTTTTCAAAGATACACTATCTAAAGATTAACTGGTTCTCTGTAAGTTTTTTAACCCAACACATTATTAAGCAATAGAAAATATTACCTTCATAAACTTCCATATTTCAATAATCTTTCCTTAACATTTATTTACTTGTGGAATAAATTGTGCTCTTAACATAATTAAGCAATAATAAAAATTTTGTAAATAAAATCCCAGCAGTAATACCTTTCCTTGGGATCTCTGATGTAAGTGTCTATTAGCAAACTGTACATCTCTGAGTGAACATTCTCGATGAGAATTTGAAAGCCATAGAAACAGCGAGCCTCTGGAACCTGCACCTCCTGACTAAAACGTTCCACCTAAGAAAATAAGGGAAACAGATATATCCAGTTCTCTGGGCTCTCATTACACACTGATTTAAACACTACAAATCAGAATCTGGACATCAGAATTATCACTTAAAAACTGCCTGTTTTGGAGTTGGCGCCTGTAGCTCAGTGGCTAGGGCACCAGCGACATACACTGGAGCTGGCAGGTTTGAACCTAGCCCAGGCCTGCCAAACAACGAGACAACTACAACCAAAAAATAGCTGGGCACTATGGTGGGCACCTGTACCGTGTTTCCCCCAAAATAAGACACTGTCTCATATTTATCTTTTCTCAAGAAGACACACTAGGGCTTATTTTCAGGGGATGTCTTATTTTTATTAAGCACAATACAACAATCTACATTTATTCAAATACAGTTAAGTCATCTTCTTCTGTAACCTGACAGGGGGAGCCAATCTTGTTGGTGGGGCTGGCACTAGTGATGCCTGAACTCCTTTTGCATGTGTTACCACACGTGCACATGCTCACTTGCACAAGTGCCAAAGGCTCAGAGAAAGGACCTGTGGCAGATAAAAGGTATTCTAGTCTTCCTTACCACTCTGCGCCGAAATGCATGGCGTGACTATGCAGATATGCTGCATAGCCACACCTATCACTAGGTCTCATTATCGGGGTAGGGCTTATATTTATTTAACAAATGCACAGAAATCCTGCTAGGGCTTATTTTTTGGGTAGGTCTTATTTTCAGGGAAACACAGTAGTCCCAGCTACTTGGGAGGCTGAGACAAGAGAACCACATAAGCTCAAGAGTTTGAGGTTGCTGTGAGCTATGATGCCATTGCACTCTACCCAGAGTGACACAGTAGACTGTCTTAAAAAAAAAAAATTGCCTGTAATGTAACAAACATGTCAGAAAGACATTATGGATTATTTTAAGCAAAATCTTAAGTAGTATTGATTATCCATCAATCCTCCCACAGTAAATTAGTTTCCTGATACATTGTTAAGCACTGACTCACCTGTTAAGTGGAGAATCCGTCTATGCAGCCCAATAAATTCTAGAACATCTACTTAAATAATGATTTTGCTTTGTATAATTGTCTTCAGTCATTTTTTTCCCAAGAGCTACTAAAGCCTCTTCTAGCTCATGATCAAAGTTCATGTCTTTCTATTCTCTTTAACAAGAAATTATGACTATTAATCAACCATGATAAAGTTTGAAAATAAGGAGCCAGAACCCAGCTGTTACAGAGTGCCAGAAAGTTATTAAGGTGCAGGTTCTCTATTAAGATCACTCTATTAAGATCACAATCAAACTTATGTTAATGCTTTTGAAGTTGTTTTTGATTGGTTTAATTTATGCTTGATTTCATGATACTTTGCTGGTCAAGTGACAGAAAAACTCCTTTTCTCTGACATTTCACCAGAAAAGCACTTTCAAGAGTTAAGCTTCATCTAGTTCATTTCTTAGACATCTTTTCTCAGGTTTAATCTAGTGATTTGACTCATATTATTTAACTGCTGAATACGAACAAAAATAAAAACAAAAGTCTTACCAAATTCTCATTTACAATTCCATCACTGGCTGCAAAAAAGGCTAAGATGTGAGAGATAAAACATTTCTCATCTGATTTAAGCTTGTTCCAATGAGGGAGATCCTTTGATAAGTCAACCTGGAACAAAAAGATTTTTAAAAGTCTTAATTTGCAGTTAAATTCTTCTCAAAGTATTTAGGAAACTAACTTCTACTACAAAGTTAAATTGCACAAAAGGAAAAATGCTAACATTACAAATAAATAAAACAAAAACATTATGTTAATCATAGTGTACTGTACTCAAGATTTTTGCTAAGTGAGTTAAATTACAGCTGCTCTTGCCACAGGGTGAAAGGACTGGAAGGTGATAATTTGTTACAATATACTAACCATTTTACTATATATATATATGGATGGATGTATATACACTTTATCATGTTGTATACTGTAATATACACAATAAAATTTATTTTTAAAAAACTTTATGAAAGGATTGGATTTTCTGAGTAATTGACAAGCTGGCCAGGATGTACTTAAAAATATGTATCTATGTACATAGATATATATTTTGAGACAAGGTCTTGTCTGGGCTAGAATACAGTGGCCTCATTCATAGCTCACTACAACCTCAAACTCCTGGGCCTAAGTGATCCTCCTGCCTCAGTCACCTGAGTAGCTGGGACTACAGAGGTGAGCCACTATGCCCAGCTAATATTTTGTCGACATGGGGGTCCTGTCTATCTGACCAGGCTGCCTTCAAGAGAGTCTCCCACCTCACCCTCCCAAAGTGCTGGGATTACAGGTGTGAACCATTATGCTTATAATTAAAATTCATATAATCTAGTAGTACTAGAGCAAATGAAAGAGGTAAAAGTTTGGGGGAGAGAGCAAAAACCAGTCAAGGAGAAACTGAAGTGAAGTAATGACTTTCAAAAGTCACTGCTTTAAACATTTTATATATTGCTTTCTCTGGTGTTAAAACAGTTAATTAGGCATCTCTTAACCAATTAACTGGGAATATAATGGGGCATTGAGGGGGAAATATTTCTCTTCATCTTTTAAAATATATAAGCTAAAAATCCAGTTTTGTTCAGGGTTCAATTTAAGTTTAATTGAAGGATATCTTTTTGCTTCTTAAGTATTACATTCCTGATATTAAATTCCTTCTCATATGAAATTTTAATATTATAATGTGTTTCCTCTAAAATATTAAACATATCTCTTTGAAGGCTGGGCATGGTGGCTCATGCCTGTAATCCTAGCACTCTGGGAGGCTGAGGTGAATCGCCTGAGCTCAGGAATTCAAGACCAGCCTAAGTAAGAGTGAGATGCCATCTCTAAAAACAGTCAGGGATTGTGGCAGTGCCTGTAGTCCCAGCTACTTGGGACAGTAAGGCAAGAGTATCACTTGAGCCCATGAGGTTGAGGTTGCTATGATCTATGATGCCATGGCACTCTACCCAGGGTAACAAAGTGAGACTCTGTCTCATAAAACAAAAAATAAAATATATTGTCTCTTTGAACACTCAGTTTCAAAAGATCTTATAAAATTTATTTATACTACATTGGTCATATTCTTTTTCAGAAAGGCAAACCTTCTCAGCTATCTTTATCTCATTTGAGCAAATTCTCAGTTTTTACCATCTAAATATGGATTCCAAACTAGCTGATTATCAGAATCGCCTGAATGGCTTTAAAAGAAGACCCAAACCCCAGATCTTTCATTTTCTGAATCAGAATTTCTATTGATCACCCATATTTAAGAATTAAGTTCAACCACTAATAAAACAGTAAACTTCTTACCTCCCAAATCAATTAAAGTGCATCATAAAAAATGATAGAGTCTATGATTGATGAAATGGTAACTTACATAATTTGTTTAAATGAAAAATATGTGGAACTAAAAATGTTTTTGACTTCCCTTCACAGTATGTATTCCAATCTTCCTATAAGAAGATTCCTACCTGGGTGGCGCCTGTGGCTCAAAGGATTAGGGCACCAGCCCCATATGCTGGAGGTGGCAGGTTCAAACCCAGCCCCAAAAACTGCAAAAAAAAAAAAAAAAAAAAGGAAAGAAAGAAAAAATAGAAGATTCCTACCTACAAAATATGCTTTTAAAAATCAATGGTCTTCAAAAATAAAAAAAGAATCAGTGTTCTTAAGTCATAGTAAAACATTACATGTACATTGCTAAAAGATCAAATTAATTTCAAGAAACCAAGAATCACAAGTACCTTTTAAACATGATGAATGAAAATGCCACCTGTGTACTCCATTTGTTCTCTGAACCATATCTGACAAAAAACTTTCTAACACCCACAGACAGTTACGGATAGTCAAGTGTGTCATGTGTTATGAAGCAGTATGAAAATACTTGGTGTTTTGGTTTAGTTTCTTCCTCTACATGTTAATTACAATATAATAAAGATGTTGACAATATAACAAAATTAGGCAAGTGGGTAAAATTAGTGTAATAGAAGTCTTATGATTTCTATGTTAAATCTTCCCCTATTCTATGTATAAAGTAATAGTTTACATTTATTTACTACTTACTAAGGGTCAAGTACAATACTACACATCTCTTATATTCATAATAACACAAATAGTCAAGCACTATTAGTCTAATTTACCAATGAAAATACAGAGAAGTTAAGCAACTTCCCTAGTTCCACAGCTATTAAGTAGTATAGCAGGATTTGTGCCTAAGAAGTTTGTCCCCAGAGACTACATTCTTTTTTTTTGAGACAGAGTCTCACTTTATCGCCCTTAGTAGAGTGCTGTACCATCACAGCTCACAGCAACCTCCAACTCCTGGGCTTAGGTGATTCTCTTGCCTCAGCATCCCAAGTAGCTAGGACTACAGGCGCCCGTCACAACGCCTGGCTATTTTTTGTTGTAGTTCTTCTGGGGCCAGGTTTGAACCCACCACCCTCAGTATATGGGGCCGGTGCCCCACCCCCTGAGCCACAGGTGCCACCCTAGAGACTACATTCTTAACAGTATGTGTTTAAATGTACAGAATCAATATCCTGAAAAATAGATCCAAATATATCTATCTAAACATATACATTTATGTACAAAGATATATATATAAACATACACAGAGCAAAAGTGACTATAGAGTAATTATTTGCATGACCAACTACCCTTACCAAATCAGCAAGTATTTTCTCACTGATTTATTCAACTCATTTCCTAGGTAGAACAGAAAGCATTCTATAGATGATCTGCTAGGGGCAGCCGTGTCAAGATTGAAGTGGTTGAGGGCAGGGCCAGATTGGGAGGAGCACTGTGAATTCAGCTGTGCAGACTCAGGAGTGAATGCTCTACCTGGAGGCTTAAACTCCTCAAGTGATATATCTCCTTTTGTACAATCAGATAAATCTCTCAATTAAAAGCAGGGTCCCTAAAGTTTTCACTTTCATTTTTTGACTGTGCAACTTTATTTATTCTGCTGACCTAAGTAAGACCAGTCTTTTTTGTTTTTTTTAGAGACAGAGTCATACTTTGTTGCCCTCAGAATGCCACGGCGTCACAGCTCACAGCAATCTCCAGCTCTTGGGCTTAGGCAATTTGCTTGCCTCAGCCTCCCGAATAGCTGGGACTACAGGTGCCTGTCATAACGCCTGGCTATATTTTTGCTGTAGTTTGGCTGGGGCCGGTTTGAACCTGCCACCCTTGGTATGTGGAGCTGGTGCCCTACTCACTGAGCCACAGGCGCTACCCAAGACTAGTCTTATATTTGGTCATATGAAACTAAAAGTCTATTTACTTATTTATTTATTTTTTAGAGACAGAGTCTCACTTTGTCACCCTCAGTAGAGTGCAGTGGCATCACAGCTCACAGCAACCTCCAGCTCTTGGGCTTAGGTGATTCTCTTGCTTCAGCCTACCAAGTAGCTGGGACTACAGGTGCCTGCCCCAACACCTGGATATTTTTTTGTTGCAGTTTGACCTGGGCCGGGTTTGAACCCACCACCCTCAGTATATGGGGCCAGTGCCCTACTCACTGAGCCACAGGTGCCACCCTAAAAGTCTATTTAAAAACAGAAAATGTTGGTTGGTCTGAGTGTAGTGATGTTTACAATTAATTGATCACAACCAGTTAGATTCTTTTGTTCCTTCTCCACTCCCACTGCTTCCCTTGACTAGACTTTAACAAAACATAAAAATTTTTTTTTTAAAAAGAAAATCTTCTCAAATGTATTAAAAGTAAAAATCTGGCAGAATGAGATGCCATTTTTGTAGCAGGAATTTTGTTTGTAGACAGTAGTCTAAACTAAAACATTAGAGAACACTGTGTATAGTGTCAGGATTTCCAAAACTTATCTATTACAATGATCTTATTCAATCTACAAGTTAAAAATTTTCAATATCCTGTATCACAAAAGTGAAGATTGTACCATAGAACATGAAGGCTGATGATGTCACTTACCTCTTCTGCTGTCCAGAAGGATGCTTGTGCCTGTTTATACATTTTCCAGATATCAGGGTACTGGATTGGAAAGATGACAAATCGGCGAGAACTCTTTCTTAAGAGTGGCTCTTCATTTGACTTCACTTCATTTTCGTTGGCATCTGAAGATAACTGCTTGAAAAATTAAGTACAAACACTATGTCTATGTAGACATTTTCTTTTTATTCCTACTTAAACATATATCTAGGGGTGATAGGGAGACAGCATAGTTTTGAGAGCCAGTCTGCCTAGGTTAGATCCTTACTGTTACTTAGTATCTGCTAAAACTGTTTAGTGTGTGGACATAGGAAGGTGCTTAACTTCTTTGAGTCTCAGTTTCCTCAACTGTAAAAAGACACCTACCTCACAGGTTTATTCTGATGATTAAAAGTGATTCAAACAGAGCCTACTATATAAGCACTCAAAAATATATCGTAATTATTGCTTGATCCATAAATGTCACGGTGGGACAATTTCTAAGTTTGTGAACAGAATGTCCCTTTAGGGCCTCTCTCATAGAATGCTGGCACAAATAAACTATTGTCATAAGCAACTTTTTAATATTAATGTTTTTCTTTTTAATCTTAACTGGAATACTGGAATACTAATTGAAAATCACTTACCTACAAGTTAACCTTTGTCTTAATATTCCCATATACAATTTTTTTTGGGGGGGGGGGTCACCCATGGTAGAGTGCTGTGGCGTTGCAGCTCCCAAACTCCTGGGCGCAAGTGATCCTCTGGGACTACAGGTACCTGCCACAAGGCCTGGCTATTTTTAGAGATGAGGTCTTGCTCTGGCTCAGGCTGATCTAGAACCTGTGAGCTCACGTGACCACCTGCCTTGGCCTTCCTGAGTGCTAGGATTATAGGCGTGAGCCACCACACCTGGCCCCATATACAAATTTATTATTGCTATTTACATTTTTAAATTGCTTTATTGCATATGACCTCACTGTAGCCTGTTTTAAAGCTTTGTGAATGAAGTGAGAAACACATACCTATATTCAAAAGTGTATGGTGCCAAGTATTTTTTTAAATAGTAAGTAGAAATAAGTTTCCCAAGAGTTACACATATATGAGAATGAGTATGAACAAAGCATACATAAATAGGCATGCATTAAGATTAGAACACCACTTAAATTCTAGACTCCTAAACTAAATTGTCTCTCCCTCCTATGCCAGGCCTGCCATGTTCCTTCATATTTACCACTGCCTCCACCAATCCTCATACCCCTTCAAAGCAAGTGCTATTGAAGATGAAGCTAAGGTCAAGCAAGATGAGAGAAAAACCCCAAATAAAAAAGCATGAGGCTATACAAATACAGTGGGACTTGTGCACTTCACACATACTGCTACTATAGTATAAATTGTCTTGTTTTATACCTTCCTGTTGAAAGCCATAGGCCTTTACAGATATGGCACTTTTTTGACTTGTGGTATTCCCAAATCCTAGTAGTGTCAAGCATAACTTAATAAACACAATTTTTCTTCATCCTGTGCTCAGATTAACTGGATACCTTTAGAAAATTTTAATTTTACACAGGATAATTATACGTGAATGAGACAACTCAAATTAAACCCTCTGTAAGTATACACGTCTCCCCCTCTCCATATCATTCTAAAGACCCAGGTTAACATAACACATAGCTCACTGTAATTTAATTCTCTCTTAATTGTCCATAGTCCCCTCTAAATTATGCTTGCTGTGGGTAAAAATTGTCATTACCTTTGTAGACTCTCTAGCGCCTAGCACAGTACCTGGCACTTAGTTGATATCATTCCATAAATATTTGAGTAAAAATTTTAAAATGTAAGTTGTCAGATTTCTTGCTTATTTTACCATTGAAGGTTTGCAATCTCAAAGGAGTCATAAGAGCAGTTCCAGGTTCCAGAACAGAAGATAAACGCAATAGCAGGCCCTTAGGCTCTGGCATCGAGGTTGCTTTTGAGTCATTACCACATAGATACTTTATATACATGATTCCATTTAATCCATATGATGATTCTACCAATCAATATCAGTATCCTCATTTTACACATAGGGAAATTAAGTCTTGGAGGATGTCAATCACATACCCAGGGTCCTATAACTACTAAGTGGCAGAAATAAGAGAACTGAAATATGTCTGAACTCAAAGCCTTGCCTTAAGCTCCATCTGTTTTTGCGTGGACTGACAGCTGAAGCAGGGCCAGCCTATGCCTAAAATCCACAATTCAAACTAGTGAGATGAACTAAGGGTAAAGAGAGTACACACTACTATCTTCAGCCAAGCAAAGATAAATTAACAAATGGCAGTGATGTAATCAGTGAAATGGGGGGGGGGACCCACCAAATTTGATTCTAAGAGAGAAAAAATAAAAATAATTTCCTTTTAAGTACAATTAAAAGAACTAAGGTGATTTAAGACTGGTGAGAAACAGCCAAACAGATAAGAGATAAGGCTTAAGGCAATGATTTTTCATGGATTCAAGTTTCAAAATCTATAGGACAATACTTTCTCAAAATGCCTTAGCTTTCCCCCTCTCCCAGGTTAAAATCACTGTATGTAATAAGATCAAGAAGTATGTTGTTGATGGAACTGTGTTTCACATGTGATAGTAAAAAGAACATTGAAAATCAGTTTTAGAAATTGTTACCTTTATAGCAAGCATAATTTAATGTGACCCCAAATGACCATGTTTTGTTTCAGATTGATTTTTCTAAAACATTTTTTTTTTTACTTATAAGGGCATAGTATTATTCATGTTTTAGGCAAGTCATTTAATTTGAGCATCGTCATCTGTAAATTCAAGGTAATACTTGCCATACTTATTTCAAAGGACTATTATAAAGATAGAGGAGCTAACACAAATAAAAACACATTGCACACTTTCAAATGCTGGACATTTGTAAAATTATTATGCTATTGGAATGTTTCTGATTAGGCTTTGAAAGGTTGTTCCTATATACAAAAATTATAATGGTTATTTGATTAATCAATACCTTCTATAGCTGCCCTCAAGGAACCTTCATGAAATAGAGAACTGTTGAAGAGGTGTAATAGTGAGATACTCAAATGTGATAGAGTTGAGCAAGAAATGAAGCTCAATTTAAAAGGTAGAAGTCTGCAATCAATGGATATTTCAAATCTGTCTTGGCCCACAGTGCTTTCTTTAATTCCTCCAGATTATATATTATCAGTTGGTACCATTTCGATACTATTCTGCATTTTTCTTTTTGTTATATATTTTTTCACTGTTGTATAGGATCTGTTCAAGGCTGAAATTCTTTACTTCCATTATATTTGTTATATGGGATATACTGAAAATTGGGAAGGATACCACAAGCAGTAACCTTGGTCATGAAGTTTTTGAATGCTGATAATTGATCAGTGTCAGAATCTATGAAACTGAAGATTAGTACCTTTATTTTTCTTATATATTTATACTGGGTCGAAGACTAGTACCTTTAAATTAGAATGAAAGTCACATATATTCTACCTACTCTCATAACGTGTAGACTGTTAAGAGAAGAAGCTACATTTGGAGGCATTATGAAAGATTTTGCAATGTGAAGTGAGAGGGGTTAACTAACCTTTGATCTGGGCTAGCAATGACATATTGCTTATTTCATAATGCTTAAATAAATGCTTAAATATACATCTTAACACAATTTCAGAAGGTTCATGTATCTTGAAGCTCTAGGCCAGGGGTCCTCAAAGTTTTTAAATAGGGGGCCAGTTCACTGTCCCTCAGACCATTGGAGGGCTGGACTGCGAGCCTGGGACAAGTGGGCTGGTAAGCAGGACAGGCAGCGGCAGCAAAAACACCCGGTGGGCCTGATAAACGTCCTAGACGAGGTGCATGTGGCCCACGGTCATAGTTTGAGGATGCCTGCCTAGGCTCTTCGGGGTACCTTCTACAGACCTCTGCTAAGACCCATATTTCACATTTAAACATGCGAAAAAAGGCAAGATGGCATTTTTAAAGAACTGGAAGTACCTTTCTAAGTCTGGATTTTGTGGTATATTGGGAACAATGGAAGGAGATAAAAACCCCAAAGGCAGTAACGAATACTTCCCAATGATTTTTCTAAACGGGCTGTGAGCTCTGTGATCCCCCTAATGTCACAAACACCTAGTGAAAATGTCACCTTTTTTTTTTTTTTTTTTTTGCAGTTTTTGGCCGGTGCTGGGTTTGAACCTGCCACCTCTGGCATATGGGGCCGGCGCCCTACTCCTTTGAGCCACAGGAGCCACCCGAAAATTTCACTTTTAATTGTGTTTTTCATTTTTGTTTGTTTCTTTCTTTTTGAGATAGAGTCTCACTCTATTGCCTAGGCTAGAGGGCTGTGGCCTCATAATAATAGCTCACTGCAACCTCCAACTCCTGGGCTCAAGCTATCCTCCTGCCTGAGCCTCCCAAGTAGCTGGGACTACAGGCGCTTGCCACAACACCTGGTTCATTTTTTTTTCTAGTTTTAGTAGACACGGGGACTTGCTCTTGCTCAGGCTGGTCTGGAATGCCTGAGCTCAAGGGATCTTTCCTCCTCAGCTTTCCGAAGTGCTAGAATCACAGGTGGGAGTCACCATGGCTGGCCAAAATATGGTTTTAACCTTCTAAGATATTAATAGTAATAAAAATAAGAAAGAAATGTTTTCTACCATAAAAAAAGGAAATCACTAATGTATAAACTTGTTTTTTCCAAGTTATTTTTTTTCTGGATAATGTCAGATGAAAGTTTCTTTACTATCTCTGCTTAACTGAAGAATACCATGAAGAGTGAAAAACACGCAATTAAAAAAAAACAAAAACAAATGAAAACCCTGTAACTGTCTTGTGGACTTTTCAGAGTTGAATTTTTTTTTTCTAAAACCAAACAAAAGATAAAAAAAAAAAAAAAAACAGTAGCAATAATACAGTACAGGCCCTATTATTCAAAGTAGTCCAAACTGGTAGTTTCAAACTAGAATAAGAAAGTGATGTATGACTCATTATTTATAAAACATATATATTTACTTTTACTTTTACTTCTACTGTAAGATCAGACCTTTCAGTTTTCTTAACTTGGATCACTGATTGGAGCAAATCTTCCTAATATTCTATACTATATCAACTTAACTTTTAATATCTTTAAGGTAGAACCATGTGAG